GTTAATCACACGAGTGAGGCTGATTGAGGAGGGAGTGCAGTGTGGGCTGTTCTGGCCTCCTGAATAGCTGCACTAAATCTCCGAACACAAATAACCTAAGAAGCCGCAAATAAAATCCCCCTCTGTATCCAATTTGCTTTTCAGAGTCACTTTGGGTGAAATAATAAGCTGATCCAATTTGGAAATATTTATCAACCCAGCCCACTGCTTCCACATTAAAATGGCTCCTGACGCCTGTATTAGTTTTTTTTCAGATTGGGTAATATATTCTTGTACATTTGAATACCAATTGAATTAAAGCCAGAGCCAGACATACCAGTTGCCTTCTGGCTGGAGATGTAAAAGATCACAGTCAGTAAATTTAGAAACGTACAAATCATACAACTGGAGAGCATAGTGCGGCAAGAAAGGCATATACTGTGCTGTGGCTGGAGGGTGGAGGAGTCTTGTTTTTTTTCAGTTTTCCCCAGTGCACTTTTCCACTGACAGGATTAACCCTGAACCTCATTCTTGTTTGGTCAGGCCAGCCCGCAGAAAACACCTAAATCTTGTTTACCAAGTTTAAATGTGAATGATGAACACCTTCCACCTCCTTCCAACCCACCCAATACAATCTACATCAACAAAACACACACACAAACAGAGGTTTGCTGCATGTACATAAACAGACCTGCATGCAGAGACACAGACTACCTCTTTCTTATCTGCTCGCTCAGATAACAACCATCTGCTCAACCCCTGTGCACCTCTGACAAGACGTTGACACCGGCGATAGGAGGTGCATACATGCAAAGACATCATAATTGCTGTGGCCCACGGAGTTCATAAAAACAGATACAAGCGGGAGAATTGAGAGAAAGGAGGGAGAAGATAGCAGAGAGAAACTCAGATTATTGCGGCGATGTGTCAACTCTGAAACAGACGTGCTCTAAAAAGACTGAGCACAACAAGGAGGGAGAGAAAAGCACTCAGATCATTTGTTGTTCATCAATTTTTATAAAAGTGGTAGCTCACTCTGCTCCGATGAAGAGAGAAAATATTCTTATTGAAATGTTTGCTCAACTCTTCCATCTCTACAGTGGCTATTTATCTGAGTGAGCTGCCACTGGACCACGACGAAAGTAACAAGGAAAGCAATGATGAAATAAACCACAGAAAAATAAAACAGATTCACAATACCTCAGTCGGTGCAGTGCATGCCAGTGAGCAATCCACCGCTGATAAACAACAAGTCTCCAAACTGAGTTGTTGTTTTCAGCGCAAATGGGTTGTGAATGACTTGTTGAGCAGGAGAAGGCCGAGAGTAAAACAACTCAGAGGATATGAGTGTGTGTGTGTTACAATGACAGCTGCATTGGGTATCCTGTATTTGTGCAACTCTCTCTCTCTCTCTTTCTCTGTTGATAGACACAAGATTCAACATATCCTATGATTGCATGAAATTTTAGTCATCTCCATTCTATGTTTTGACCAAAAACAGAGCAAATAGTCTGATTCTGAACATATGGCACACTGGGCACGTACACCTCAGATTTACTTCTTTATCAGATGTAGACAAAGCTGCTGTCCCAGACACGCTGAGCTGTCTGACAATGCTGCTTCATCGCTCACTCAACAAACAAGCAACACAAAACTCAGCAGAGAAGATCAACACTATCTGGTGCCATCTGCTTCACCTCTGACACAAGTAACAGCAGCAGAAACATCACCGTTATTCGACTTCACATTAACATTTCGGTGGGAAATTAACACTCAAGTTCACATGAACATGCACATGCACAGGAAGTGAAATTAGGGGAGTTGCAGTGTGTGCCAATAGGTACTAAGTCACTTCTTTTCATTTTCTTACTGCACCCTCACCTTCAAGAGGAAGTTTCCACATTTGAATGGATTTTAAAAAAAGTTGTCTAACCGACACACTATGAAACAAACAGCTGCGGTTGGTTAGAGCTGAAATATCTTGCCACACTCTGAAAAGTTACTCGGGAACAGTTGGGTGAAGTTGGTGAGACAAAAAAAATAATAAAAAATAGGAGGAAATAGAATGAAAAAGCTGAACTGCAGGATATAGACTGAAACAAAAACAGCCCCTGGTAGTAATTGTGTACTACATTACATTCAAAACAATCAATAACCTACCTATGCAAGAGAAAGCCAGTTCTAATGTTCTCCTTTTGAGATAAAAACGTCTTTTTTTTTAATATCCTCTCTGCCCTGAAACTTGACACACTCACCAGAGATGAAGGTCAGTGGAGCAGATGAGCTGGCTTGTTCTCAGGAAGAACTGCTGCTGCTGTGTGCTGCTCAACTTTTCTCTCACCTACAATATGAGGGGATTCACAGCCACCTCATTCAGAGCTGAACTGCCCCTCACCACTTGTTGTCAGCGGGAAATACCTACTGTGTTTACTCAGAACTGCAGTTCTCTGGCTTCCTGCAAACAACATGGTTAAAATACTGATGTGCACAACAATATAAGAGTTAAGTAGCCTATACGGGAAGTTGAATAATAACTGGTGATTCATTTATTTTTAACTGGATTAGAAAAATTACACATTATAACAAAACTAGTGTTCCCTCTAAGTTAAATTGTAGGCAAGTTATTTTTGCATTCATGCGTTTTTGGAGTAAATGCACACATTAGTTCCAAATGGGAAACTTCACAGGTGTGAAATCTCAAGTGTTTGGAGTTGTTGACGTAATCACTTATTAACCTATTAACATGAAAAGTCTGGAACAGCAAAACAATTCTCGTCTTCTATGAAGATGTCTGCTGACATTATTTCTTATTTTACTGTGGCCTAAACTCTTTTGTCCCTGTATGGATCCTGTAGATCGATGACTTCCAGTGATCTAACTGGTCAGTAGTTGGGCCCTTGACAGGTTCTGATTCTTATCTCGAACTAAACCTGCTCTGAAGTTACCATGGCGATTTACCCTGGTTAGAAGTGTACCAGCTTCAGAATGAAAACTCAAGAGTTAAACTCTAGGTTACTACTGTGCCCTAAACTCTTTTGTCCCTATCTGGATCCTATAGATCGATGACTGGTTTTCCAGTGATCTGATTGGTCAGTAGCTTTGGCTGTTTACAGGTTCCAGTCTTTGTGAACCAGCTTCTTACTGAAAACTGAAGAGTCAAACTTGAAGTTATCTTGATAACTCAATCCTGGCTTCTAAGTGCAGGCCTTCTGGGTGTTTTACTTTGCTCTTTGTTACCGTGCAAATATTGGAAAAAGGTGGCAAGGTGTTGTTTAAACGCTCCTGACTCACTTTTGAAAACGTCCATTTTTTGTTTCGTTTTTTTCTACATGAACACACCGACAATGACGTCACAAGCCAAATGTGCAATGGGAACGTCCGAGGAGCACGTGAACGCAACGTGGCGGCCAATCAACGCCAATGCAGATCACCTGGCACCTGCTGTCCACATCTGATAACGTCATCAGCAACCTTACCGAGTACGGGCGCTGATTGGTTGACGTCACCACTACGTTTCTGTCGGCGCCTTGGTTCAGTCGATCAGTACTCAGCGATATTGCTTCTTTCCCTCCGTGTTAATATATCTCTCAGCTGCAGGGGGACGGTAATGGTGGGGTTTCTTTCTTCGTGCATGGAAGTTGTCTCTTCCGGTGCAGAAATGCGGTTCTTGCCGCTGCTCCACTCCTGGGACTCGGTGAGTGTCGCGGTTCACGAGCCGCTGTTTGCGGTAGTTAAACCTGATCAGGCGACATTTGCATCAACACTAAGAGCCAGACTAGTTTGTATTAACCCTTTCTCTGCTCTTACACACACACACACACACACACACGCACACACACACACGCACACACACACACGCACACACACACACACACACACACACACAGACCTGTTCTCCCTCAGCTCATTCGCCTCCTCACCTGCATCTGTCAAGTCTCAACACTTCTGCTGCCCCCCCCCCCTCGAGCGCTTGTATTTGCCTGGGTCTGAGTGATCAACGGGTGCGGCTACGTCTCAGCCCGTGGTCACAAAAGATAATCAGTGAGCTGTTAAAGGGAATAATTGTCTGTAATTGTCTTCTTGGGAAATAACTCGGCTGCCCTTTTTTCGTTTTTAAATTTAATAAACACAACTGGATCTGAAAATGTGAAGCGCGACACCAAAAAAGTTGTGACATAAAGTACACAATCCTCTTATTTATTATATATATAGATATATATTAAAATTGTAACTTTTACTGCTGTTTACACTGACGACCGATACAATGTAAACGTGTTTAAGATCAACCTGACACAAAGTAAACAATATATTTATGCAAATAACTCAAGATACAGATAATGTTAAAGTTAAACTTACATTTAACTGAGCTGTTGTTTAGGATTCTCTCTGCTGATCTGTCACTGCTTCCACACCAAGATCCTTGTTATCATGGAAACTGCCGGAGTGAGTGTGCACGTTAACACAGGTGTACTCAGTCAGGAACCAGGAACTGAGTCCTCCATTGGCTGCTGAGCTTGTTGAAATATGACACCGCCCTCTTATCTGTTTCTTAGTGTAACTGTGCTTACTGGGACACTTCCACATTGTGCAGTGACTAAATGTTGTTAGTGTGTACTAACAACTGCACTTTTCCTGCAGAAACACAATGTCTGATATAGAATTAAAGATTTTATTTATTCTCCTCTGCAGGCCTATATGGGGCCAGTCCTGGTCGGACTGATGATGTTTCCCCCTCATAATGACCCAGCAGCAAATGTTACCCATCAAGTGATGATCACAGCCACTGGTGTTTGGACCTCCATCACTGTAAAGGTTCTGGAGACCAGCTTCATGCAGCACATCTTCCTCTCTGCCAGCCAGAGACGATTCACCTGCCATCGTCCGTGGGAATGGCCAGTGATTGCTCCTCCTATCTCCTCAGTGTGATGTCTGTGAAGCCTGTGACAGTCCTTGCCTCATTATGAACCCACACTGGTTGTGACCACAGCTTTCTCTGTGACGTGTCCTCCTGGGGGACGCGCTACTATCCCGTCGCTCCTCACTTCCCTAACCAGACTGCTGTTAGCCAGATGGTGATCACCAGTGCAGACCATGAGACACCAGTGAACATTCTCCTCTCAGGGGATGCTCTCTTTAATGGCAATAAGTACCCCAGTGGTAGTTTCCTTAAGTTTAATATGGGGGAGCTGCAGAGCGTTTACATCGAGAGCAACACCAGCCTATCTGGCTCGGAGTTAAATTCCCCAGAAGCTGTAGGCGTTGAAGTTGGTTTTACCTGCTCCAAACACTCATCTGGGTATTGTTTGAGCAGCTTTGCTGAACTGAAACCTGTCTCTTAGTGGAGTTTGGATTACATTTTCCTTGCTTTTGTAAACACAGGAATTCATTCTGGTTTCCTTTTGGAAATAGCTCCTTTCAACTCTGATCTGAGTGTCACCAGCAGCACCAGACAAAAGAAGGTCTCTCTTGTTGGTGACATTATGAAGGTCATCCCATTTGTGACCTCAGATAAAATCCACATTGCTAGTGACAATGCTCTTCAGCTTATTTACTTCAGACAAGACCGTGGACTGAGGTTTTCAACTCTAACTGCTGCCTTCTGCGGAGGATATCTGCCATTCTGTACCTATGTTTGATTCCAGTGATATGACTCAGCAGGAAGATAACAGTGCTCACTCATGAGATTTAAAGTCCAGTGTTAAATTCTCCCAGAAGGCCCACTTCATTAATCAGTCTGATAATGCACCGCTCATTCCTCCTCAAACAGACACAGATGTGGGACGTTATGTGAACGCCATGACAAGACTACATTCTGCAATGTGTGAGAAAGGTATGTATTGAGCCACTTGGCATCATTAACTGCTGGAACATTTGATGAATTTGTTAAACTGTTGTAACACTAACCTGAGATGAGCACGTCTGTTTTTTTCTATTTCAGCTGCAGCATCTTGTGAAGAGTTGCGCTGTGGTCTCAAACAGAAGTGCATTATCAAAGATGGAAAACCATTCTGTTCTCCTTTGAAAACTAAAATATGCTCTGCATGGGGTGACTCTTACCACTGCATGTTTGATGGAAGAGGTTTTGTCCTGAGGGGAAACTGTAACTACACGTTACGTTCAGACTACCTGTAAAGGAGACTGTATATAAAGCCACTGTCTCCTGCATTCACACAGTGGAGATAAGTATCCAGGGCTTTAATATCTCTATAGTTAAAGGAGATAAAATCATGTCAAGGTGAGTGCAGTAAACATATTTAAATTAATTTTATATATTTATGTGGTACTTTAATGTGGTAGTGTAATGTGTTTATTATTGTATTCACATAGACAGAAGAAGAACCTGCCCGTCAACCTGGGAGATGGGTCCCTGAACTTTTATCCAAGTGGCTCTGGGGTTTTCATGGACACCAACTTTGGTCTGACTCTGCAGTACGATTCGAAGCACCATCGTACCCTCTGTGGCCTGTGTGGGAACTTTAATGCTAATCCAGAAGACGATCTGATGCCTGATGATGATCCTGATATCTTTCAGGCTATTGCGTATTGGCAGACCAGCAGTGAATGTGTGGCTGTGCCTAATAACACCTCAGCTTGCAATTCACACGATACAGCTCTTTATTAGTGTAAAGATTTCTGTGGAAGGATACTGGATTCAGAGGTAGCGTTTCAGAGCTCCCATAAAACAGCAGATCCACAAGAATTCTATGATGACTGTGTTCATGATCTCTGTTATGGTAACCAGACAACCCTGTGCCAAATTCTGTCCAGTTATGTGGCTGTGTGTCAAGAAACAGGCGCTATAGTGGATGAATGGAGGGCCTCTGCATTTTGTAGTAAGTAGCATTGTGAAATCTAATTTTTTCCTAATATTAAATGTTGGAAAAATACAAATATTTTTTTCTTTCTCCTCAGATCTCACCTGTCCACCTAACAGTGAATACCAACTATGCTCCAGTCACATCTCTGACTGTGTTGAAAACCCAAGTCCTCTAGCAGTGACATGCAAAGTGGGGTGTTTCTGCAGACCTGGGTTTTTCCATAGTGGTGGCAAATGTGGTCACGACAATGAGTGTGGCTGCATTTACAATGGAATCTACCATGAAATTCATGAGAACTTCTTCCCTGATGAATGCTGTCAGCTGCACTGTGTCTGTGTGGGCCACAACACGGTGCGGTGTACCAACCACACAGGGTCAGGGGTCACAGGGCATGCCACGCATCACAGCCCGTTAAATGCACAGTCATGAGTGGCAGACACTTCAGAAACTACGATGGACAAAACTTTGACTTTAATATGGGAAACTGCAATTATGTTCTATCCCAGGTTTGTGATGAGGAAGAATCTGAGCCTATTCTTCAGAAAGGATAGCTGCACCTGAGGGTCCATGGAGTGAATATATTGAAAATTGAGCATTTAGGCAAAGTAAAAGTAAGGAATTGCACATTTTGAAACGCTTTCTACTTTCTGTGACTTTGTAACTATAACATTCAAATTTTCAGGTCGATGGTGCTCTTCGGAGTCTTCCTGTCCAACTAGATCATGAGGAAATACTCCTTTCTGGCCTGCTGACTCGAGTTGTTGTTGACACTGGGGTTGTTGTCAATTATGGAGGGCCTCACCTGACACAAGTGGTCATTCCTGCCTCTCATAGAAAAATGTGTGGCTTGTGTGGAAACATCAGTGCTGTTGCTACAGAAGAGAAACAGTCTGAATGGCAGCCATGCAAGAAATGTTTCACTGTTTGCTTCTTCCTGGTCACTTTCCCCACCTGGAACTAACTGCTCTGAAGAACGGATCTCTGTTCAGCATGCAACTCTACCAGGACAGCTGAATTAGCATCTGATAACATCTGTGGCATGCTGCTTTCTCCTGCAGGCTCATTTGGTGGATGCCACTCTGCTGTGGACCCAGAGCCCTTCTTTCAAAACTGTGTGAATGACTTGTGTATTTCTAATGGGAATGAAGAATTGTTTTGCAGGAGTCTGAGCGAATACACTTTTGCGTGCCAGGGGGCAGGAGCTGAAGTCAAACCATGGAGGAGTGAGAAGTGCTGTGAGTATCATTAATCTTGACTCTACACATGTTGTTTCATTAGTGTGGTGATATGCCAGTAAATCACAGGTCTGAACACATGCTTTTGTTGTACTTGTAGAACTTTGGCAAGCTCAATACTTTGAAGTTGTAAGATTGATGTAAGACTAGATGAACTCTGCACAGTATCTTAATTTTTTTCCCCCTCCTACAGCACCTTCATGCCCTGAAAACTCTCAGTACAGTATATGTGTCAGTGCATGCCCTGAGTCCTGTGGTATTTCATCTGATATCCACTGTCCGTGGCCCTGTTATGAGGGATGTCAGTGTGAGTCCGGATACATGCAGAGTGGAAATGGCTGCATCAAACCTGAGCAATGTGGCTGTTTCTATCATGGGCACGACTATGAGGTAAGTAGTTATACATTACTTGGCTACTACCAACTTGTATGTACATATTCCCTTTGTCACGACAATGAATGAATTATTTTCCTCTTAAAGCAGTGACACTAAATACTTGGCTTGAGATCTGACCTGAATATTGCTGCTTTGTTTGATTTCTGATAAATCTGTTGCTGCCCCGAGGGTGTGCTGACACATTTACATGTGACCCCTATTGCACATTCAGTTCCAAACATGTTGGCACAGTTGAGTTACACATGTGATATATTTTTGGTTATTCCACGCACCGTTAATAATGTGACTCATGTCTTGGCAAAATGTTTGCCTCACCTAAATGCATGACACATGTCTAATCTCAAAATCGCAGGCCTTTGTGTTATCCTCGGTGCTTGTTGTTTTGCTGGGTGTTTAGAGAATAGCTGGATGAGACACACCAACAGTGAGTCACTGTTCTCTGCAGTTTGGGGAGATATCATGGACTGAGGGATGCTACACTGTCGCTGGCGCTGTGAGCCAGTCTCTTGCCCCGAGGGTGAGAGCTGCACCCTTAGCAATACCTGGGGTTGTGCAAGGAAAGGTAGGCCCAGCTGGTTCAGCTGGATTGGGTGACATTTCCTCACAGGCTAACTGTTTTCACTCAGCTGCACGAGGCAACACTCTCAAGTCTCATATTATCAGTTTTATGTGACGTTAATTTACTGTAAGGGCGTTTTTTTTGCACCTCATACACAGCAGTGTCCTGTAATTTTGTAGTTATGCACTGCCTGGAGGCCTCAGATTAATTGCACTTTTTGTCAGTCACAAATAATAATGCACCAACCTTTTTTCCAACTTATGTGTCTTATATGTTCTTATTGTCTGCAGACATTTCCAGCACATTTGTCCTCTGCCTAAACTGCCAGTTATACACTTTTTTCACTCTTATTTCAGCTAATGAATATAAATTCTGTTAGAATGGGCAGACTTGTGCTAACCACAGCCAACCTCAGCAAACCCAGTGTTGGGTGAAGGAAGGCACCCACTACTAAACTTTTGATGGGAAGGCATTTGAATTCCAAGGAAACTGTACATACACCCTAGTCCATACACTGAATGACACCAGTGAGAATAACACAGTTTGGGTTGGGGTGCAGAAAGACAAGACGCACAATGAGTCCTCTCTTAAAGCTATTCATGCCAAAGTGGCTCAAGACAATATTACTATCGACAGAGGGGGAAAAAGGCTATGTTTGGGTGAGTTTGAATTTGGAGCATAGAGAATCAAGCCTTACTGTCAGTTTACAATTTCTTCAATATATCATCTAACTATATAAACATGCAATAGTTATATGTAGGTTTTTGGTAAAGCAGATGAAGGTTTAAAGTCTTCCACAAATATGAATGAAAAATTAAATCAAGTTATAGAATACAAGATGTTTGTGCTCTCAACAGATAAATGGTGAGAAAAACCAACTCCCTGTGACTCTAAAGTTTGGACTGGCAAGGATCAATCATACTGGCATGTTTGTTGTCATGGATACCAATTGGGGCATCCAAATTAAGTATGACTGGTCTCATATTGCTATCATCATCCTTTCTAGTGCAACTAAGGTGTGGGGCATGTGTGGGAATAACAATGGCATCAAAGAGGATGACCTCAGGAGTCAGGACCCCACATGGTGAGGTAGTTGAAGCTACTGCCTTTGGCTGGAGTTGGAGAGTTCCTGATCAGGACACTCAGTGTGAAGCAGATTGCAGAGCTGCATGCCCACACTGCTCTGCTGACCAGCTTCGTCTGGAAAGTTTTACCAGTCAATGGATCTCTCTTCACGAGTACATTTGGTCACCACAAAGTCCTTTCCACATGTGCTTGGAATTTGTAAGCTACGCCAACATCTGTATACGAGTTGGCATATTTGAGCTGTGCTCCAGTAATGACACTCAGAAGACCCTCTGCCTGATCTTGGAGGCCCTTGCTGCTGCCTGCCGAAACGCTCAGATCCAGATCGCAGAGTGGAGCAACAGCACCTTCTGTCGTGAGCAAATTTGTTTCAGGATCGAGCTAATTATGAAATTTAAAAATGTTTAAATGTCAGAAAGTCAACACATTAATAATTTGTTAAAATGCGTATGTGCAGATCTTCTATCACATGACTAAATACAACTGTTTTAATTTGCCCCAATCTCACACATTATATTTAATGCTCCAGCAGCTGCTTGTGTTAAAATATATACTGTTTCTTCATCATGTTATTGTTTGTTATTCTTGTCTCCCATCAGCCATGTCCTGCTCATTGAACAGCCATTTTGAGTCCTGTGGCACAGCCTGCCCCGCCACCTGTGAGAACCCATCTGCCTTAAAACCCCTGCACCCAGTCCTGCGTGCAGACCTGCCAGTGCAACTCCGGGTTTGTGTCCCCTTGTCCCAGTGTGGCTGCAATCACAATGGGGCAAGTTACCACAGCAACCAGACCTTCTGGGCTGATGAGGGATGCACTGAACAGTGTGTCTGTGACCCCCACACCCGCCAGACATGGTTCCATTCAGATTCATGTGGCCCTGATGAAAACTGCAGCCTTCAAGATGAAGTCAGAACCTGTATCCCCCTCGCGCAGAAGACTTGCATGTACACCGGACATCATGTGATCACCTTTGACCACCATGACTATAATTTACACTGCACCTGTCAGTACCAGTTGCTGGGCATATGTGAACAGAAACAAGGGCTGGCTGCGCTTAAAGTTCATGTACAGACAGACAGATGGACACCTAGCGTCAGAACTACACTTAGAACATTGAGGTGAGTGCTATAATCATTGTTACTATTTATTTCTTACATTTAAAAAAAAAAAAATTAAGTCACACAAGGCACGTTTGACATTGTAATAGGTCATAGATAATCTGATAATTAAAGCTGGTGCAGTGCTTAAGTTTGAAAATGTGTTACACTTTGGTGACTTTCAAATGTAATTTTGGCACCCCCTACAGGTTGATGGTGTCAAAAGGAACATGCCTTGAACTCTACTGCGCTGGTTTTCTCTCTCGGCCTGCACACTTACATCTACACAGACTCAGGCTTTGAATTTAGTCTCAGTATAGAGGGAGTAGTCAGCATTAGCCTCTCCCATAAATATGTGGATGCAACTTGTTGATTTTGTGGAAACTTCAACTCAAATCCAGCCGACGACCTCACAGCAAATGACACGCAGGAGCAGCTGAGTATTTTGGAAAAGCTTGGATAAGTGGGCAGAATCCATGTTGTGTGGAGGGCTGATTTGGAGGAAGTTGTCCGAATTGTTCATCTGAGGGTCTGGCCCGCGTCTCTGAACCGGAGGCCTGCGGGAAAATTCTGCAGGTTAATGGACCATTCAGATACTGTCAAAGTGGACCCCTCCAGCTTTTACAAGCGCTGCGTCAGTGACTTGTGTCTTCATGGAGGTCTCCAGCCTGCACTGTGTCACTCCCTGGCAGAGTGTACGGCTCTCTGTCATTTCCACAAGGCTACAGTTTACACCTGGAGGAGCCCTGGATTCTGCTATGAGTATTTATTTACTCCCAGCTCTGTTGTGCCAGTGAATTGAATTATTATCCTTCTCAGTTGTAACTGTGTGCTCTTTGAAGTTCAGCATCATCACACACCAAATGAAATATGGAGAGTTTGCAAAAGTGTGCAAGCAGGCATTTCATCATGCTCAGATTGTTGATACTGATCACCTAAGATGAGGAAACTGAATAGTGATTATTTGCTTTCAGCTCATATTTGTTCCCTTGTCTATTTATTGCACGTTAAAAGTCTTAGTATAACTTTAGATGGAGTGTGCTTTGACTCATTCGTATGGTGGCCACAACCTTTTAAGATACTATCAGACCACTAGATGGTACTAATACATCACTGGTCATCCCTAACCTTCACAACATTTCCTTGTCTTTCAGCCCTTAGTAACCAATGTCTTTCTGTATCTCCACAGACCTGTCCTTTCCCTCCAGTACCAGTTACAACACAAGCTCTGCCTCCGTTCACCTCTGCCTTGGCTGGAAGAATAACACGGTAGAGATGCCTCCTAACACTGGGGAGAACTGTCTCTGTGATGCAGGGTGAGTTCACAGTGGCAGCCTCTGTGTCTACCGAGAAAACTGTGGCTGCCTTCACCATGGAGAGTATCTCAGGACAAGAGGTGTCTACATGCAGACAAAGCTGTTTATGTCATGCTGGGGGAAACATGAATTGTCATGTCTCCTGTGGAGAGTATGAAGAGTATAAGCTTATTAGGGGAGTTCAAGGTTGCCACCCCAAACCCAAAGTGGTACACTGCTTTGTTGACAGCTCCAAATACACCACATTTGATGGATGGGCATTTGAATTTCAGGGTTCACGTAACTACACTCTGGTGCAGATATGCTCTCTAAAGAAACCGAATGTGGAGCCTGTTGTTATCGCTGCACATGGCAACCACACTGAAGGCAGGCAGATCAATCTGCAAGTCAATACAACATATTTTGAGGTCTCAACAGCTTTTCCTGGAAGAATTCAGGTCATTTGTGGAATTATTTCAATTTGACTTTCTGTTTATCAGCTATCACACACTGCATTTTTTCAGTGTATTGTTTGATGTTTAAAACCTTTTTCCCAGGTAAATGGAGTGTATGAGAATCTGCAATTCTCCCAGAACAATGTCACTGTGTACATCAGAGAAATGGTTTGATCATCATCAAGACCCCACAGGCAGTTGAGCTTCTTTCAGACCTACAGGGCCACATTCAGGTTAACATTCCTGACATTTACCACCAGTCTACCTGTGGCCTTTGTGGAAACTACAATGATAATCTGTTATGACCTGCAGCTGCCAAATGGCACTGTGACTGCAGATCCTGAAATTTTTGGGCCATCTTGGAAGTTGTCTAATGAATCGTCCTGCAGCGACACGTGTAACAGCAGCTGTCAACTCTGCCAGAGCCCTATGCCAGAGTATAGCTCTGACCTGTACTGTGGCCTCCTCACCCACCCGAGGGGACCATTCTCCTCTTGTCACCATTTAGTGGATCCCCGGAAATACTACTCACTCTGTATGAAAAATCTTTGTCTTGCAAAGGGGCAGCACAGGGCCCTGTGTGAGGCACTGTGGGTTTATGATGCAGCACATAAGGAAGCAGGAGAGATGACTGACTTCTGGACAAACACCACAGGCTGTGGTAAGTCTCATCAATGTTGTCCATTTGTTTTAATTAAATGAAATACTTAAATACTGAACACTGAGTTTTACTCATTTTATTTTTCAGCTCATCAATGTCCTCAGTTCAGCCACTACAGCCAATGTGCCACTGTTTACTCCTCATTCCTGATATCAGCGTTGGCAGTGCAGTGCCCTGGAGATTGTGAGGAAGGTTGCATGTGTGACACTCATCACTTTTTTTTCGATGGCCATGTCTGTGTACCAGCTGAGCAGTGTGGCTGTGTCCAGAACTTAACAAGGTTTAAGGTCAGAATTAAACTTTGTTTTGTTTAGTAAGTGTTGCAGCAACCTGTCTTACACTGTTATTTGAATTGGTACATTCTTTTACAGTGTTAAAGAATCTTATTTAAATATATTCTACCTTCTTTGATTAACTTGTTCAAATTATGTTCCTTTTTTCAGGCCTTTGAGTGCAAACTTCTCCAAAACTGCACTGTTAACCTCCTCCTCTTGTTTGTGAGAGATTCTTCTGTCCTCCACTGCACAGTTGTACAATTCTAGATGGAATCGTGAGCTGCCATAAGGATGCTATTTAAACTGAAGAACCATTTTTAGATCTTTATCTGACTGCTAGTGCATTACTACTTTCTGTAGTTAAAATGTTATATTTATCTTTGATACAGCGAAGATTCCAGATCTCTGTGAGGGGAAAATGTGATGAAACAGAGAAATGCTCCCTGAGCGACTGTGGTGTTCCTGTATGTGAGAGCCATCAGGGTCTGTGTTGGACCTGGGGAGGGCAGCACTACCACACCTTCGATGGGCCCAGCTATGACTTTGAGGGCACCTGTACCTATTTGTTCACAGCCAGCAAAAGGCCAGCATGTGATCTGACGCCCTTCAGTGTGTCAAAGAAGAACAAGTGCAAAGGCAACAGAGCCGCATCCTCCACACAGGTGGTAACTTTACAAGCTTATGGGTTCATCATAAAGCTCAGTGGTGAAAAGGGCAAGATACATGTAAGTGTCGGTTTTATAATGAAACTTTGTGTACCGATTGTTGAACTACAACTTTTCACTTTTCCCCTTTAACTGAGGTTATTGGTCTGGTGACTTACATTCCTGTTGATCTGCTGCAGGGTAAAATACAGGTCTCTCACATTGAAGGCAAAACTCTTCTGAAAACGGACTTTGGTTTGCAGCTAGTCTTCGGGCTTAACTCAACACTTGTTGTTACACTGCATCCACGCTACAAGGGCAAAGTGTATGGCCTCTGTGGAAATTTCAATGGTGATATTAAAGATGAGTATCCTGCAGCCAGACCTGGTTCCCTTCCCATTAAGACAAGTGTGGAGCTTGCTCAGGCTTACAAGCTCTTTGATGGGGACCTTAACTGTTGCACTGGTTGTGAGCAGAAACCCAATGAAATTACTTTACCAGCAGAATGTTGGATTACAGTTGATAATGTATAACAGCGGCATGCTAATGATTGTCCTCCCCAGCAGTTATGGCTCCTCCATCTCTGGGCTTTGTGGGAATGCAAACAATGACCCTCAGGACAACCAAATGACTGAAGAGCTTGACCACAGCTGGAGGTCTCCTGTCCTGTTCAGGCACAGAAGCATTGCGAAGGCAGTGGTTTTTGTGGGGTGTTGTTGAATAAGCTTAGGCCGTTTGCAGAATGTGCCACAGTGATAACCCCTAAGCCTTACTTCCACAGCTGTGTAGTGGACTCCTGCTCTTTTGCTGGACACTATTCAGCACTTTGTAATTCCATTGCATCTTATGCTGCTGCCTGCCAAGCAGCTCAGCTGCCAATCAGACACTGGAGGAGTGACACTTTTTGTGGTGAGTACAAGTTACTTTTTGCTTATCACAGCAAACACCACAAACATCCTGTCTGGATTTGGAGCACTACCACTGTGAAAAGGACACAGGGGCTCACGTATTCATTATTGATTATTCAGGCTTTCATGAACAGTCTATGCAGGACAGCAAACACTGAACTTGGTGTAATGCAAAAAACCCCAATAAAATGGGAATACACAAAAACCTGGAAAGCACCACATACATAAAAGAGCAAGTTTAATAGTATAAAGCCTCTTATATGAGTTATTTCTTTTGAAACATGAATGGATAAAGTAAATAAATATATTTGCATCTAATTTGACCTTCCATTGAACAACACTTTTTACGCTCTAAATTGTCACATGAATTCAGTTTTTATTCTCTGCACTGTCTTACAATGATTTTGTTTGGTAAAAATAAAAATATTATTTTCTATGTGCTTTGTCTTCCTTTACCTGGTATATTTATGAAGATAATAATACATTATGTTTTGTGTCCTATGATACTGACAGAGGTTACGTTTTGATGTGCACCTGCAGTCCTTGTGGAGAACAAATTGTAGAATGAGACATGCTATATTAAAACTGGCATTTGACTCTAAAGTAATGCTTTTTAACGTTCTCTCCCTGTAGGTTTGTCCTGCCATAAGAATGAGCTAACCCTAACCCTGTGGACCCTGGTGTCCCGTTTTGTGTGCTGAGCAGTCCTCTCCAGCAAACTGCAGTGGAGGTTGTAAGGAGGGTTGCCAATGTGACCCTGGCTATGTCCTGAGCGATGGCCAATGTGTGCTGCTTTCTGACTGTGGCTGCATGTATGATGGACATTATCTCCCTGCTGGAGAATTCTTCTCTGAGAAAAGCTGCCAAAGGTGCAGCTGTAACAGAGGAGACGTGGCCTGCAGCCCCATGGAAAGCTGTTCAGCAAAGGATGGCTTTGTTTTTTCAGCACTGTGTTTGCCAAGTTTTTGCTGGCTTTGGCTACATCACCTTTGACAGTGTTATTCTTCCTCACCACGGTGCTTGTACCTATGTAGTGTCAGCCCTCAAATCTAAAAACATACATGACTATTCTCTGCTTTACTCACAATAAACAAACTGGTGTTTTATTGGCAGTCATTAGAAGTTTCTGTCAATCCCGAGACTCTGTGGAAATTACAAGTTTTTCCATCTGTATGAATGCCAATTAATGCTGCAAAGATTTCCTAAAACGTTCTTGAACTGTTTTTGTTCCATTTAAGGTGAATGGAGAAGAACACAGCATGCCTTTTGAGAATGGAAAACTTGCAGCGTCCCAAGTTGGCAATAGACTGATTATTACACACTCTGGGCTGGGAATCAACTTGTCCTCTACCCAGTACCTCAGTTTAACTGTACCTCAGCTATATGATGCCACAGCCTCTGGCCTCTGTGAGAACTTCAACGAAGACAAGTATGATGATATGCCACTGAGAGACGTCTCACTGAAAAACTTTGCAGAGCTCCTGCACAGCTGGGCAGTCATAGCTCCTAGACAGCTCTCCATTGGCATTTGTGGGAGGGAGTGTGACCCTGTGCACCCTGTCCCCATGTGAAATTATGCTCTGTGATCTCCTGTTGAACAGTAGTATAGAATTTAAGCACTGCTGGAACAGTGGCGTGGAGCGTAATGTTTACAGAGAGATGTGCATTAGTTGTTATTAAGTGTTTAATGGCAAACGGTGTGTACTTTACAGTCAGTGTGGGTGTGTTCACCAAGATGTTTATATCAAGGTGACCATAAAAGCTTCATACAGACATTAAATGCTTAGCACTTTATAAAGGGAACATGTTATCTGCATTTAAATCTCACATGCAGAAATTGTTTTCTCTTCCCTCAGATGGATGAGAGACTGTACCTAGATATGCTGGTGTCACACTTTGGGGGGGTAATATGTGAGGATGCAGGCTGTGGCCCAGGGCAGCAGTGTGCTCTGAGGGATGCTTTCTGGGGCTGTCATGATAGACCTGAAGTCTGTAAACTGTGGGATGGCCTCCACATCTCCACACTTGGTGGACAGCAGCTGAACTTGGAACCTGGGTTATCTTACTCTGTGATGTCACTCTGCGATGAGGTCAGTGCTCAGTTGTTCAGTCTGATCTCTTATCGTGGACAATGTGACAGCAGCTCTTCGAGGCTTGTCACTGTGTTTCAGATCTTCCTGCGTGGGTTGTCAGTTGCCATACTGGAAAGACAAGTGAAGGTATAGCTCCACTGAGGATTTTAATGACCATTAATTGAAACATTAAGAAATGATTTGTCTGACCTTGTGATTTCATCCCACAGGTGAACAGACACTGTGTCCCTCCCTTCCACTTCACCATCGGGTTTGTCCCTGTCATCTGGTGTGAACCAGGACAAATCAGACGTCATAGTGATCTTGAGGAGAAACACTGGGATGGATTCTGAGTTGGAGATGGAGATTGGTGTTACCATGGTGACAGTCAAAGTCCCTCTCTGGTACTCAGGCAAATTGTATGGTCTCTGTGGAAACCTTAATGACCTCCACTCACACAGTTCAGTCAAGTCGTGGGTTCTCCATGACTTTCCTGTCTGGTAAGTGATCCTCTCCACAACAACAGTACTGCATGGTTATTCAGTAATATGCACTGTATAAGACACTAATAAATTATATTTGCTTATTTCACAGTCGCTCCTCTGGATGATAACTGACTGTTTTAATGTCCTGACTGTCTTTGGTTGAATGTCTATTTCAAATATAAAAACCCTATAACAATAACAGTCATTTGAACTGAGTGCAAGCCCTTCCCTTATGTTCTGCATAATGTAGCACTGTTATCAGTAAGACCCATACACCTTATTTAAACAAGGCCATCTCAGGTCAATGTGGATTATGATTGAACAAAAAAATAGAGGGCGCACCCTAATCTTTTTCCACAGTATGTATACAGACTTACTGTTGCCCTACCCAAAGGCTTCGGGCTAAATAATCACCAATTCAATATTTGAGTTAATTTAGTCATTAAAATAACAAATACTCAATTTACTTTGGCTCTTTATACAAATAACTACTGCACCCTCCACTACATGCTGCTTTTCTAATGCGATGCACAAACCCAACAGAAACTGCTTCTTAAAAACAACTGCCATTTCACACAAAAGCTGGTTTAAATATAATGGATCAGTTCCTTGATTAATCCATTATTTTTTCAAGCTTTACAGGGTGTAACTGGCTTTAAGGACACAATATAAACAATGTCCGAAGTTGATTTAAGTAGGGCTTATATGTTAGAAGTTATACAACAAATGACAAATACTAAATTGCAATAGAGCTTTTGAAACTAAAGCAAACAAATGAAGGGTACATATGAGAATTAAGTCACATTTTAGTTTAAATTGTTGGATAATGTACTTAAATTGAGCAGAAACACATTTAAAAATACACATGCTGTGATGTGAGCAATCAACCAACCCAGCCCTGGTATGAAACTACGATGGCTTCTCAGAGACTCTGCTAACTTGGAAGATAAGTTCTGATTTTGGTCTTATCACATTCTTGCCTTGCCCAGTCCAAAATGGATAATATTATTTGGTTACACCAGAATATACAATATAGGAGAGTGTGGGCAAATGAAAAAATTCATGATGTTTCTGTGGTTTAACTATAAAGAGAACTTGGAAACAAATGTAACCAACAACTCAAATATTGGTACAATTCCACAGAAATGACAGGATGAGCAGCTGACTTGGTGTGATATTCACAGAAATAACAGGATGAGCAGCTGACAGGGTGTGTTATTTGTAAAAGATTAAACTAATGACATACCGTGGTTGGTATTGGACCTCACACCTATATCAACATTCTTATGTCAATGCCAAGTTCTGCCTTAATTTGCTTTAGAGGAAGGGTTTTTCTTAACTGATGGCTGTTGAGCTTTAATGTTTTTGATTGGCTGTGTTTTGTCCATCAGAACATATAAAAGTATGAGTGTAATAAAATTCACCTCACTTGTAGCAGGTATGTTGATTTTCTGGTCAAACTGTTTCTCTCATATTACTCAAATTTAAATAGTTCACTAACCAAAACTAAAATGTGTCTTTCAGCCATGGGTACTCTGCTGCTGCTTTGTGCCTTGGGGGCTTTACTCAGCTGTAAGTATATTTTGGCATATTCATATTTTTCTTTTTGCACGTTGGCAGAATATATGTGATGTATCTGTGGTTATCATCTTTCCAATTTGTCATGATTTTGAGTATTTTAACTGAACAAATGCAGAAGTGTTAAACAAATCAAATTTTTAAAATATCTATCAAAACTCCAGCCCCACCATTAACAGCTATTAAACCTGACTAAAGTGGACTGAGCTTAGTTAATCAATCACAGCAGCGCACCTCAAACCTTGGCTCTGAATTTCCCGGCGCAATGTGGAGCCAAGTGATCGCTCAATTTGAGGAAATTAATCCAGGTTGTCAACCCCATCAGTGGAGCATTGTTGTGCAGCCACACCAGGTGCTTGTGTGAATGAAACAGAATGTTAAACGGGTGAAGCGTTTGAGAGTGCAGCACAAAAAGGATAGCAATCTAAATTGAAATTTGTTTTTGTTGGGAATAGCATTTACCTTCAGCTGCTATTGAGTTGCAACCATTATATTGAATAGCTGAAACAGGAGTGTAATCTAAATCCTGCAGGCTCTGACTGAGCATAGAAAATGTTCTTTTCACAGAATAGGCACAGATATTGATAATATTTCCATTATGCAATTATATTGTCTGCAAAAGTGACTTATTGAGTGCTGCCGAGAAGCAGTCAAGTGACTATTCCTCGGTCTAAATCTCTCACAATGGTTATCAAAAAAAAAAGCAATCCATCCATTACAGGCCAGCATTCATCCCTGCTTTTTAACTTTGAAATGAAGGTATTTTTCAGTCACTTTCCCTTTGGTGTCACATTGTTTCTTTGTGCTATGCATGTGATTCAAGATGTCTGGAGCCAAGTTTGTATTGCCAGTCCAAGAATCCTTTGATTGCTTTAGCATAAATAGTAATTTTTTGTTTGTTTTCTTTTTATGCAAGAATGTTTAAACAGTTTTGTAGCTGACTGCTCATTTTGGGTAAATTAATAAGAGCTCTTCTTTGGACGTGTGTGTTTTTTTTTTCAGGCCCATCGAGTGCTGGATGGGCAGGCAGGGAGTTCGCCCTGTCATTCATGCAAAATTATGCAAAAAATTATGACACTCCTCGCATTCAGCTCTACATCACCGCTGTTCAGGCAAATGCTAAAGTGACAGTGAAAGTGCCTCCCTTAAACTTCAAGCAAGAAAAAATTCTAAATGCTGGAGAAGGGGTCACCATCACCCTCCCCAACAATGTTGAGATGTATGGCTCCACCAAGTCTCCTAACACAGTACACATTCAAGCCTCGGCAAATGTGACTGTGACCTCCATTAACTACAAGTTGTACACAGCAGACACATCTGTGGTGTATCCCATCACTGACTGGGGTAAAGAATATTTCATCTTTACACCTGCAAGGACCAACTTCTTCGCCTTCACAGAGTTCGCTGTGACAAATGGAAAAGAGAGCAACCAAGTAGAGATTTTCCCACAGGGCTTACTCAAGTTCCAGCATCATTTTTATCGGCGTGGCCATCGCATGGTTATAGATCTACAGCCGTATGAGAGTGTGCAGCTCCAGAGCTGGAAGGATCTTTCCGGCACCAGAGTAGCCTCGCAGCACCCTGTCGCTGTTTTCACGGGTCACACTTGCACCTGGCGCTTCTCAAAATGTAACCATGTTTATGAACAGCTGCTGCCAGTGAGCAGCTGGGGAACCAGCTTTATCGTTCCTCCTGTGAGCTTTCAGAAAAGATATGATAGTGTTTATGTCCAGGCCTCCCAGCCCACCAGAGTCACTGTCCAAAATGGCAAGCGCCAAGATGTTTTCACTATGAGCAGGGGGCAGAACAGGGAAATCCGCATCCGAAATTCAGAAACAAAGTTCATTCAGGCCGATCACGGCATTCAAGTCCTCTTTTTTTTCAATGGCATCAAGCTCGGCTGGAATAAGTACTATGACCCCTTCTTGATGACCATCCTGTCCACAGAGCATTTCTGCAGCTCTTACTCACTTCATGCCCAAGAGGACTTTAACAACCAAGCTCTGATTGTGGCACAGACTAATGCAATGGCCGAGCTGCGTTTTGATGACACTAACCTGCCTCGTAATGTGCAGTGGAAAAAAGTTGAAGGGACAGAATTCTCCTGGGCGATGATGCCCTACAAACTTTCCCCTGGCCACAAGAGACATACAGTGACCAGCTCTGCTTCCAGCTTTGCTCTCTACAGTATAGGAGTAAGCCAAATGAATGGTTATGGTGCCCCAGCACAATGTATACAGCCAGGTAAGGAGCACATTATTATAGCTGTTCACTGTAAGAAAAAAATCTGCTTGTTCCAAACAGAATTGATAAATAATGTGCTTTTATATTTCTAAATGTTTTCTCCTAGGAAGTGGACCTCTATCCTGCAGCAGTATCACCTGCAGTGCCAATGAGGTGTGTGAGATGCAGGGAAAATATCCCTCCTGTGTCCCCAAGTCTGGTACGTGCTGGGCCATGGGGGATCCTCACTACCGTACCTTTGATGGACGACACTACAACTTTATGGGCACCTGCACGTATGTCATCGCTAAAAACTGCAGAAAGGATCATCTCCCAGCCTTTGAGATCCTTGCCCAGAATGAGAACAGGGGAAGCCTCAGGGTTTCATATGTTGGCCTGGTCATTGTGAAGGTGTATGACGTCACCATCATAGTAGCTCGGTCTGAGACTGGTCGTGTGAGGGTAAGGTTTTCTATTTCTCTTCATAAGAGATTATTAGCATGAAAAATAAGTAATTTATTATTTCCATTAAATGAGTAATGTATAGTTATAACAAATTGATTCAATTCATTTTGAATATTAGTTGACATATTAAAATGCTTTAAGGTCCAATGTGAAAGATCTATCGGCAGAAATTTAATATAAAATAAACCTAGTGATGTTTTCACTAGTTTCATCTAAATTGTACAAATTGTTGTTTTCTTTACCCTAGAATGGACCTTTATATTTAAATGCTTTACATTTACATCAGGAGCGGGTCCTCTCTATGAAGGCCGCCATGTTTTTTTTCAGCCCAGACTAGACAAACTAAACAGCTTTTGAGTTTTTATGACGACTGAAGTTCACCACAGGTTCTCTTTCATGTTTGGAAGGAGAGGGTGAGGTGAGGGGTATTCAGCTGCAAAATGCAACTTCACCACTAGATAAAACTAAATTATAAACACTGATTTGGAGAAACCTAATAGAAATCTAATTTCTTCATAATGTATTTTTTCGGTTTCTTTCTCAGATTGACAACACTCTGTGGAGTTTACCTGTAACCCTGAACAATGACAAACTAGAGATGTTTCACAGAGGCCGCTCTGTGGTCATAGAGACGGATTTTGGCCTGACTGTGAGCTATGACTGGGAACACCAGCTTGTGGTCACACTCTCCGGCAGCTATGCTGGTAAGACTTGTGGCCTCTGTGGCAACTTCAATGGCAACCCCAACGATGATTTCACCACGCCCTCTGGCAGCCAGGCGACTGGAGCTGTGGCCTTCGGCAGCAGCTGGAAGGTGCCAGGGCTGGTGAAAAATGCTGTGTGCAGAGACGAATGTGTGGGTGGGTGTGAGCGCTGTGAGCACAGCCTGATCAAGATCTGGCAGGGTGACCTGTTTTGTGGGCTCATCACACTCATAGTAAATGGGCCCTTTAGCAAATGTCACGCCGTCATTGACCCACAAGCCTACCTGGAGAACTGCAAATACGATGTTTGCATGGGAGGCGGCCTTCGACATTTCCTCTGCCGGGCACTGGAGGCTTACACTGAAGCCTGTCAGCTTGCTGGGGTCCAGGTTCAAAATTGGAGGGAGATGGCAAAATGCCGTAAGTAATGTTTGCTAAAAATGAATCACTAATTGTGTTTTTTCTGTATTGTCAATCAAACCATTTGTCGCACTTTCTTCTTCTTTTCTCCCCTAAAGCTACTAAATGTCCAGCCAACAGCCACTATGAGCTCTGTGGCAATGCCTGTCCTGCCACTTGTTCTGATCCTAACGCTGCCTCCAAATGCAAACGCCCCTGTGTGGAGACCTGCACCTGTAATGACGGCTTTGTGCTGAGCGGAGGTCAGTGTGTATCTGTCGATCAGTGCGGTTGTACCTACAAGGGTCGATACATCCCTGCCGGAGAGTCGTTCTGGGCCGACCAGGGCTGTGAGCAATGGTGTATTTGCTTGGCTGGAAGCAGACAAGTCCAGTGTCAGAATAAAGGCTGTGGGGCAGGGACACAGTGCAAGGTGGTCGAGGGCATAAGAAAGTGCCAAGCAGTGTCCCACGGCACATGCCAGGCCACAGGGGACCCACATTACATGACCTTTGACAAGAAGAAGTTCGACTTTCAGGGCACATGTGTGTACCAACTGGTTGCACTGTGCTCCAACAACCCAGATTTAGTGCCGTTTGAAGTGCTTGTGCAGAATGATCACCGGGGCAGCAAAGTGGTTTCCTACACCAAGTTAGTAGAAGTCAAGGTGTATTCCCTAAGCATTGTTATCACAAAGACACACAAGGGCCTGATAATGGTAAGAACTAAATAAGGTTTAATAAATTAAAAAATAAATAAAGTTACTAAGTCATTGTTGTCTATATTGGGTTATTCAGTATAATTTATAAATATGGTGTTTTCTCCTCCAGGTGAATAATGAGCTGTTAAACCTGCCTGTAACCCTGGATGGAGGACAGGTGTCTGTGTTTAAGAGTGGCCTGTATGCTGTCGTTACCACAAACTTTGGCCTCAAAGTCTCCTTCAACTGGGAAAGTGCCGTGTTCGTGAAGCTGCCAAGCAACTACATGGGAGCTGTCTGCGGCCTTTGTGGCAACTACAACGGCAAAGCCCAGGACGATCTGATTCCAAAGAGCGGTGACAAAATTGTTGCACCGGTAGCTTTCGGCACCAGCTGGCGAGTGGCTGAGATCCCGGGCTGCGTGGAAGGCTGTAAAGGGGTGTGTCCTGACTGTGACATTACCCAGAAGGTTCAGTATGAAAAGGGAGATTTCTGCGGTATATTGAAAGACCCCCGTGGGGCTTTCCGTGACTGCCATGCTAAGGAGGACCCAGCTGGATACTTTGAGGACTGCGTTTATGATGTTTGCCTGTATAAAGGCAGAAAGGATGTGCTGTGTAAGGCTATTGCAGCATACACATCTGCATGCCAAGCTGCAGGGGCCAAGGTGTACAGCTGGAGAACCAGCCAGTTCTGTGGTGAGAGATGCATTCATTTTAATAAAAAACTGTTACATAATTATTTACTATAGTTGTATAGAAAGTGTAATAATATATATATATATATATGCACTAAAACCTCTTCTACTGTTCTATGAGCTAAGCCTTTGTTTTTCCCCCTCTGGGATTTCATGTAGTTTTGAAATAACTGCCGACCTTTGGAATCTGTTCACAACACATAGATATAAAATAACATTCACATTGTCTTTTATCTCTTGTGTACAGCATTGCCATGTCCAGTCAACAGCCACTATGAAGTTTGTGCTACTTCCTGTTCTGCCACGTGCAAGAGTCTGGCTCCTCCTCCCGGCTGCCAGGATCTGTGTGAGGAGGGCTGCTCCTGTGACGAGGGGTTCATCCTCAGTGGACATGCATGTGTTCCCTTCTCAAACTGTGGCTGTGTCCACAACGACCGTTACTACCGCGTCGGCCAAGTGTTTTATCCATTTGGTCAGTGTAAGGAGGAGTGTAAATGCTCACAAGATGGACAGGTAATCAATCCAGAAGTGGAGAAAACTAGATTGTAGAGCACGTACCTCCGCCAAGGCCCAACAGCCCCTGAAAGAAATCACATTTTAAATTCACTGGATCCAGATTTGCATTTGGATCTGCACCAATTTTCACACACATAATTATCATTCTAAACATGTCTGATTTTTTTTCACAAGATCCTTGCAATCAATGAAAATGTTAGATGAAGATGCCTTATCAAAGACATTTTGAAATAAAAAAATCTTTGGATCCGCCCCTTGACCCTATTCCACTCCAAAATCTAAAGGGTTCTTCCTCCAGTTGTTTTTGTGTATTCCTTCTAACTAACTAACAAACAAACCAACCACCAAAAAAATGTAGTGGGGTGAAAACATAACCTTCTAGGCGGAGGTAATACGAATTTGATAATATTCAGGGTGAACTTGCAGTTGTTGGATTTTTATCAAACTTCTCTTCTTTCTCAAATTTTCTCAGGTTGAGTGCAAGAAGTTCACTTGTGGCCCTAATGAAAAGTGCAAAGTAGAGAACGGTGTCCAAAAATGTCACCCTGTTGGCAAGGCTGTGTGCCATGCCTCTGGTGACCCCCATTACCTCACCTTTGATGGGCGAAAATTCGATTTCCAGGGCACCTGCACCTACACACTCTCTAAGAGCTGTGGGCTGGAAGGCACCCACCTGGTGGCCTTCTCTGTTGACGTGGAGAACGTGCAGTGGAACCAGATGGTGAACAACAAAGTTGTGTCGGTCACTAAGCTGGTTGCTGTGGAGGTCTACGGCTTCACTCTCATCATGACGAACAACATGTTTGGAGTCCTGGTGAACACTTGCTCTTCATTTGATCCAGTAGAATTTAAATAAACTTCTAGTATGTAGTGGCAGATGGTAGAAATACATGAGAGATGTCAAACTACTTTGACAAATGTGTTTAGATCATTACTGTCAATCATCATTCTCTTTAAATCACAACTTTTCTTTTCCCTTTCTAGGTAAACGGGATCTTTAACTACCTTCCTCTGAGTCGTAATGATGGAGCTGTGCAGGTCTATCAGGAAGGCCAGCATTATGTAATTGCAACAGATTTTGGACTGCTCGTCACTTATGATCTGGTCTACCATGTGACTGTCACAGTACCTGGCAACTACCGCAATAAGGTCTGTGGCCTGTGTGGCAACTTTAACGGAGACCGAAAGGACGACGTCCAAATGCCCAACCACAAAATCGCAGAGAGTGTAAACTTGTTTGGAAAATCATGGAAGGTCACCATCCCCGGTGTGGTGTGCAATGATGGCTGCGAAGGCGATTTCTGTCCTAAATGTGACCAAGCTCGCAGGGCTGTGTTTTCAAAGCCCACTTACTGTGGTATTCTTACAGCACCCAAAGGTCCTTTTGCAGTCTGCCATAGTAAACTGGACCCACAGCTGTATTTTGATGACTGTGTGTTTGATGTTTGTGCTTCCAATGGGGATGGAAAGGTGCTGTGCAACAGCGTGGCTGCCTACGCCTTCAACTGTCACAACGCAGGAGTGGATGTGAAAAACTGGAGGACGCCATCGTTCTGTCGTGAGTGAAGAGAGAAATTCACGTTGCTTTTTCTTCTCCACATCAGCCTTGTATTGCCTCTCTGATGCACTTTTCTCTGTCTTGAACTAATTTATTTCAGCCATGAAATGCCCAGCCAACAGTCACTATGAGGTGTGTGCAGAAACCTGCTCTGATTCCTGCTCAGGCCTCACAGAGCTGGTCCAGTGCTCCACCAGCTGCACAGAAGGCTGTGAATGTAATGCAGGCTTCTTATTCAATGGACAGATATGTGTCAAAGAGACTGAGTGTGGCTGCTATGAGAATGGAAAAACTTACAAGGTAAAATTCAACATGGTTTCACATGTGGTAATGTACAAGAAATAAACTTTTTGTGTCAAAGTAGGTTAAACAAGTATCCATGGCAATATTCATGCTGACATAACAATAAAGTTGCCATTAGTTTTATGTTTAGAGTTTTTATTTTCCACATTGTTGGACATTAGCCAGCTGGATTTTAAATTTGTGCACCAAGGAATTCTCCTGAGTCTTAATTAGCAGATTGTCTAAATTTGTGTTTCTTTACAAGGTAGAATGAGCAATGGAATAATGTAGATCCTTCTTGAACCTGTTGTTTCCAATGTTTTTTTTTCTTTCTCTGTATAATGAACCTGTTCTGCGTCCCCAGCCTGGTGAGGTTGTGTACGAGGAAGACTGTAACTCAAAGTGCACTTGCGATCCCACCAAAGGTCTGGTCTGTGGGAAGCACTCCTGCCCTCAACACACCAAATGCATGATCAGGAAAGGAAAACGGGCATGCTACAACACAGGCAAGACAAACAACCATGTATTTATATCATCCAACTTTTACTATTCTTAACCTATTAACCATCTAAATACTTGTTGAGTTAAGTTGCATCTTTGTGCATCCTGTGTAGATCCCTGCAAAGATGCCAACTGTCGTGTGAAGGAGACCTGCCGTGTTGAGAATGGTGAAGCTGTGTGCATTCCAAAATACACAGGCACGTGCTGGGCCTGGGGTGACCCCCATTACCACACGTTTGATGGTTACAACTATGACTTCCAGGGCACCTGCAAGTACGTCATCTCCAAGACCTGTGGGAATTTGGAAGGTCTGGTGCCGTTTTCCATCACAGAGCGGAATGATAACCGAGGAAACACAGCAGTTTCCTACGTCAGGGAGGTGGATGTGTCTGCGTATGGGTTCAGCGTCCTCATGGGCAAGAACCAAATTGGTCGAGTCACGGTAATATTTTAGTTTCTGTGTCTGATGTGTTTGACCTGTAGCTGTGTGTGTAAATATTACAGCCTGTAAATCCATCTCTTCTATTTCCCTCAGGTGGACGGAGAACTGTTGAATCTTCCAGTACAACTGGGTGACGGTCAAGTGTCCGTGTTTCAGCGAGGTCACACTGTAGTGCTGCAAACAGACTTTGGCCTGGTTGTCTCCTATGACTGGAACTGGGAACTTGTTATCAAGTTGCCCAGCAGCTACTACAACAGTGTCTGTGGCCTGTGCGGAAACTTCAATGGCGAAAGCCGTGACGAGCTCCAGAATCCGTCTGGAAAAGCTGTCGCATCAGTGATAGAGTGGGGCAAGAGCTGGCAAACACCTGACCAGGACAAAGACCATCCTTGCTGGGACACTTGCAAGAAAAACTGTCCAATCTGTGATAGTAACCAGGTTAAGGTCTACAAGAAGGAGGCTTTCTGTGGGGCCCTTGCAGCCAAGACAAACAGTGTGTTCAAGAAATGTCATGACAAATTGGACCCGCAGGCCTTTATGAACAGCTGTGTGTACGATATGTGTCAAAATAAGGGAGACAAGAAGATGCTGTGCCAAGCATTGGCCTCCTACAGTAAGCAATGTCGTGAGGAAGGAATAACTATCGTGGGCTGGAGGAAAAAGTTTGGCTGCCGTGAGTATTTATAAATTTTTTTTCAAGATTTCAATCAACTATTTATTTGTTTGTTTTTTTTTATTAATGTCTTTTAAATTTCTATCCAGCGATGAACTGTCAGCGTCATAGCCACTATGAGGAGTGTGCCAAGCCATGCCAGCCATCCTGTCCTTTCCCCGAAAAAAAGCAGACCTGCAAAGGTACCTGTGTTGAGAGCTGTGTGTGTGATGCAGGTTATGTCCTCAGCGCTGGTGTATGTGTGCCTGCGAAAACATGCGGCTGCTCCTATCAGGGTCGCTATTACAAGCCAGGCCAGCACTTCTGGGCCGACGAGGCCTGCCGTCGTCTGTGTGAGTGCGATTCGACCCTGGGCATGGTGACATGCCGCGAGGCGTCCTGCTCTGCCAAGGAAAGGTGTACAGTAGAGGACGGAGAGCGAGCCTGCCGACCCATCGGTCACGCCACATGCACAGCCTCAGGTGACCCACACTACCGCTCATTTGATGGCCGCAGGTTTGACTTCCAGGGAACATGCGAATATCAGCTGGTGGGACTGTGCTCTCAGCAGCATGGGCTTGTGCCGTTCAAGGTGACTGTGCAGAATGACCACCGGGGAAGCAAGGCTGTGTCCTACACAAGGACTGTCAACTTTTCCATATATGGAATCACCATCACCATCAGCAGAGAATACCCCTACACGGTCCTGGTTAGTATGGTGTGGATAATGGGATGCATTTGATGAAAGACTGTAGAAGGATTCAGGCTTGTTTTTTATGTGGATTTGGGGGAGAAATGAAATGGGACACAGCATGTAGTTACAGTTCTGAATATTAAAGCAGCACAGATACTCTGAGCCTCATTTTACATTAGTGGATGATAATGCCTTCTGTCGTTGTGCTAATTCTGACATCCCTCATGTTCTTCTGCATATTGTATATTTAATTGCATATTAACGACCACGCAATTATTAAATCTTTAATCTCCTGTAAACATTCCTCCCTCCCTTGCTTGTTTTCCACTCCTCAGCTCAATGGGCAGCATGCTTTGTTGCCACTGGATTACAATGGTGAGCTGAAGGTGTTTCTCAGTGGTCGGACAGCTGTTGTGGAGACGGTCGCTGGTATCACTGTGACCTTTGACTGGAGGAGCACAGTGAGCGTTACTCTGCCCAGCAACTACCAGGACGCAGTCTGCGGCCTGTGTGGCAACTACAATGGGAACGGCAAGGATGACCTGACCATGCCTAACGGCCAGATCACCCATGATGGAGACAAGCTGGGGGAGAGCTGGCAGGTGGCCGTCACACCAGGCTGCTCATCAGCCTGCCAGGGGGCATGGTGCCAGGCCTGTTCAAAATCCCAGAGGAAAGAGTACCAAGCCATGAAGCACTGTGGTATTATCGCTGACAAAGCAGGGCCTCTCAGAGATTGTCACAGTCACGTGGATCCCACTCCCTACCTGGAGGACTGTGTGTATGATGCCTGTCACTATCACGGTCACCACGGGTCGGTGTGTGAAGCAGTGGGCGTGTACGTCTCTGCCTGTCAGAGCCAAGGAATCGCCATCCGCTCCTGGAGAACAGAGTCCTTCTGTCGTGAGTTTGTGATGGTGTTTTCATATTTGGTTTTCATATTTTAATCTTATTAAAATTATTTAAGTTAAAAGTCTTCCTCTCACTCTCTTCTCATCCTCTCTCGCAGCAATGGTGTGCCCAGCTAACAGCCATTATACTCTGTGTGCCGCGGGTTGTCCAGCCACCTGTGCAAGCTTAACCTCCCATTCCACCTGTCGCAGGCGTTGTACAGAAGCCTGCGAGTGTGACGAAGGCTTCCTACTAAGCGGGGTCACCTGTGTGCCTGTGAGAGACTGTGGCTGCTCCTACAACGGTCACTACTACAAGAAAGGAGACATCTTCTACCCTGAAAATGAGTGCGTGGAGCAGTGTGTCTGTGGAGAGAATGGTGCTGTATCTTGCCAGAAGGCCAAGTGTCGGTCTGGGGAGATCTGTAAGGTTGCAAATGGTGTGAAAGGCTGCCACCCTGAGGGGCAGGGCAAGTGTGTCGCTTCCGGTGACCCTCATTACATTTCCTTTGATGGACAGAGGTTCGATTTCCAGGGTACCTGTGTCTATGTACTGGCCAAGGTTTGTGATGATGACAATGGCCAGCTGACGCCATTCACTGTCACTCAGGGGAATGAGAAGTACGGGAATGGAAAAGTGGCTGTTACCAGGTCGGTTGCAGTGGAGGTCTATGGTTTTAACATTTATATCCAGCAGCGAATGCCTTGGAAAGTCATTGTGAGTTCAACGTCTTAATCCAAAATACATTTGAACATGTTTATTATGTATGGGATTTTAATGTGATTTTAACTTTTGTACTTCAGGTCGATGATGAACTTCTAAACCTCCCTCTCTCCCTGGACAACGGGCGTCTCCAAATCACCCAGGAAGGTCGCAACATAATTATCCGAACAGGCTTTGGACTCACAGTCCTCTACGACACCGTCTATTACGTTGAGGTGATCGTGCCGTCTACATACCAGGGTAAGATGTGTGGTCTTTGTGGCAACTACAACAAGAAGGGCAATGATGACTTCATACTTCCTGGTGGCAAATCAACGACAAACGTTGACGTCTTTGGAAAGGCGTGGGTGGTGGACCTGCCTGGGAATGTATGTGGTGGCTGTGGCGGTCAGTGCCCAGTTTGTGAGCAGGCCAAGGCTACAATGTACGGAAAACCTGACTCCTGCGGCATCATAAGTGCACCTAATGGGCCTTTCAAAGCCTGTCACAGCAAAATCGACCCAGCAGCATACGCGGCTCATTGCGTGTTTGACGTGTGCGCTGTGGATGGCAACAAAGATACTCTGTGTAACAGTGTGCAGGCCTATGCTTTGGCCTGTCAGAGTGCAGGAGTTCAGATTCAGTCATGGAGGAGCAGCTCCTTCTGCCGTGAGTTACACTACACTGCATTTTAGATGAAGAATTTACTTGTTTTTTAGGTGTTTTTCAGAGTCTTATAAATATCTTCTTCTCTCCTAGCTGCTTCCTGCCCTCAGCACAGTCACTATGAGGTGTGTGCCAACACGTGTGGTGGGACCTGTGCCAGCTTTATTTACCCTGTTTACTGCTCTGAAGAATGTTTTGAAGGATGCCAGTGTGATGACGGCTTTGTATTTGATGGCATCCAATGTGTTGGCTTGGACAACTGTGGGTGTGTGCACGACGGGAAATATCTGACGGTAAAACTGAGTTTCTTTGTTGTTGTAGATAGTTTCTTTGCTACAGTTAGTTACTAAAATATATACAGCTTGCCTCAAAGTGACTAATATTTTCTATTCTTGCCACAGTGTTTGTGTAACTTGAAGCTAACTCATTTTTAATAATATACACTGTGTGTTTCCAGATGGGCCAAGCTGTGGTGGACAAAGACTGCAAGTCCAAGTGTGAGTGCCAGGCCTCTGGTGAGGTGAAGTGTGAAAAGCTGTCCTGTGACGATCGTGAGGTTTGCGGTGTGAGAGATGGTGTCAGAGGTTGCCATGTCAAAGAGGGACACTGCAGTGTCAGCCAGGTTGGACACCTCGCCTCCTTCGACGGCATGTCCGGAGCTATCGGAGCTCATGGGGCAGTTGAAGTGGCGTCTCTGTGTGACGAGAACACTGACCTGTGGTTCCGTGTGGTCGTGGACGTCAGGGTCTGCAGTAAAGGAGCATCTCCCTCTGTCGCCACTGTGCACATGTTCTTCAAGGAAACTGTCGTAACGGTTAACAGCCAACATGTGACCTGGGTGAGAAAGGATAAAGAAAGTTTATTAAGTCATCATAGTTATGACTTAAATGTTTTTAAAATCTGTCCCAACTGATTTTGTATTTTTTCATCTTTCTCATCTTCTTCATGTCTTCCAGGTAAACGGCAGGAAAGTGTCTCTTCCCAGAAAAGTGAACAATCTATCTGTCAAAATCTCTGAGAGTACTGTGATAATTGAGAGGGCGTCTGCTGTGAGGGTCACATACTCAATTTCACAGGAGGTCACCGTCATTATTGACAGCGCACTGTCTGGCAAAGTGTGCGGCGCCTGTGGCAACTACAATCACAACTCCAAAGACGATATGATGACTGCAGATGGGAAAATTACCACAGATGTGTCTGTGGTTATCGACTCCTGGAGTGCCGGTGACTTTTCTAGGTGGTGAGTATGGGAAAAGTGCAACACTCCCTCTGTGTGAATGTAATGGGCAGAGAAACATGGCTGTATTTAGTGCTGGGATCATGAAAGTAGACACAGGATCGCTTCGCATTGCTCCGGATGTTAACTTTAATTATTTTAATAGCATAACATCTTTGCCTGCTAGTCTACGCTTTTAACCTGCAATTTTAGTTAGAGGAGAAGTTTTAATCTTGAACCTCACTTTGCCCTTTATTATGCAAACTCCAGACTTAATTTGACCACTGAAATAATCAAGTACAGATCAGCGAGAGATGGGACGCCTCCATGACCATTCAACCGCTTATTCTCTTAACAGCAAGAACTAAACAAGGACTCCACCGAGCCCTTTTAAAGGAATGAGAGTGTGGTTTTTAATTGCATTTGATCCAATTTAATTAAGAAATACCAGAGAATCCCCTATGGTAATTACTGATTAAAAAGCAGGTGAGGCTGACAGGCATGGCCATCAAAAGCTACCAAGCTTGCAATCCAATCACAGCTTGTCATCCAAGGACACTTAAGACTCATCTGGGTACAATATTAATTTGAGCCCTTACTTCTGTGTTCTAGCCTTAAGCTGCTCCCTCAGAGAATTAAGTTTTGTGAACCCCCCCCTCGGTCTCTCTTTATTCAAAGTAGTTGTCTTATTTTCAGGAATTTTCCTCACCCCCGACCTCGATGAGCACTAGAAAACACCCGCCGACTCCCGGGCATTTGCTTTTACCTTTAAAATACAATGTTCAGAAGTGTTGCTTGTAATCTCTGTTGTGCCTGAGTGAGCACGACTTTGCTTCAGTGCCCATTGACTGCATTTTTTTCCTTTTTCATTTCAGTGGCCTGTAGAGATGTTGGCCCTGGTGATGGCAAGCTTCTGTTATACGGGGTAAAGTTGTCTCCTCTCAAAGCTATGAACTGATGTTTGGTTGTGAAAGAAGCAGCTGTAGAATGTGGCTCACATCCCTGCTTTTTACCCCCATTAAACAGGATAAAAGAAGAATGTGAAGTCGCTGGGCTGAAGTTGGTTTGTTTACATCCAGCCTTACTCATCATATTTCTTTGCTTTCCTCCTGGTTCATGGAATGTTTTTAGTTGTGCACTAGAGCCTGAGTTCTCTACTGTTCGTCTCTGATGAACCAAAAAATCTATCTCATTCTTGATCAACACCTCCATCTAGTGGAGAAGATCATGTCTTTCCTACATAACTCCAGCTAAGAAACTAGAAACAATCACAAGTCTATAACTGTTGTACTTGTGTGGTGAATGTGTATGTTGTATAAAATGTTCTTTATCTTCGTACCAATAAATGAGGTCTCACTTCAGTGTGTGTCAGGGATTTGATTATTAAATGTGTCCTCACAAAACCTCTAGAATGGCTTCTGTTCAACAGTCTAAATTAGAAAGGCATGACGTGTGTGTGTGTGTGTGTGTGTGTGTGTGT